CAGATACGTTCACGTCTGGGCGCGGGGTGAACCGCTGCCCAGCCGGGTTCCTGCGGAGAATCAGCCTTCACCGGCAAGGTGGACGCCTTACTCACCGGGAAAACTCCATGTAAAAGCCGCGTGGTAGCCCTGGCCGGATGGCTTAGAGGATTGAGGGTCGGCCTGCGGACCTCAGGGTCCTGAGTTCTATTCTGGTCCCGGGCACATGCCCGGGTTGGGGGCTCGATCCCCAGCGGGGGGCGTGCAGAAGGTAGCCTATCAATGATCCTCTCTCATTGATGTTTCTATCTTTCTCTCTCCCTTCCTCTCTGAAATCAATAAAAAGGTATTTTTTTGAAAAGTCACATTGTCTTTGCAGCTTTTCCCGACAGCCACCCACAACCATTGCTCCCACACCCATGTTCCCATAAGGCTCAGTGGAGATCAGGGGTGGAGAACCCTGCGAAGGGCCATTTGGACATTTATAACATCTTTTGGGGGCCGTACAAATTTACTAACTTAAAAATTAGCCTGCTGTATTTGGGTAAACATTTACCTCGCCCCTAATGCCTTGGCAAGGCCAGACCAAATGATTTTACGGGCATCATACAGCCTGCGGGCAGGATGTTCCCCACCCCTGGTGTGGAGCCTTATAAAGCAAGTCCTCACTTAACGTTGTGACTTTAAGCAAAGGATGTATGACAAAGGCAGTTCACCACAGGCTAATTGATATAAACGAGTTAAGATCCCACTACATATTTCCGGTCACAAAAAATCACCAAACTTTTAAAGAAAAGTCTTCTAATATTAAATATGGAAATAAATGTGATCTGTACATATACATATTTTCAGAAAGATTAATAAAATAAGTAAGATAATTATTTTTCAACCCACTTATTGCACTTCAGGGTGGCAGGTGGCCAGAGCCTATCCCTGCAGCTCGTCACACGGTGGAAATTCACTCTGGACAGGACTCCCATGCAGGGTGCGCTCACACCCACACCACACTCACTCAGACAGGGACAATGTGGACACCCAGTTAATCCAACTTGCACGTCTTTGGGATGTGGGAGGAAACCAGAGATCCCCAAGAACGTTCACCCAGACATGGGGAGGACAGACAAACTCTACACACACACAGCGGCCCCAGCCGGTATTTGTTTTTCTCATCAACTTCATAACAAAAGGACCTTTAAACAAAGGATGTTATTCAGGACCTCTGTATTAAAGACTTCATCTCATCAAAACATAAGTGTTTATATATCTCTCCTGGACATCCCCAATTGTGAATTGCTTTCGCTAGAGATTATCTTACTCATCTATGTTTCTTTAGCATCTACCACATTAAACATTTGTGAATGGAATTAAATTTAAATAGAGAACCTGCTCACCTAAGTGTCCATTTGGTCAAATCCTAGAATTCTATTTCTCCCCTGAAATCTTCTATTTCTCCTCTGAAATGATCAGAGAGGAACTCAATTCCTTTTTGTTTACTACTTTCCCCAAACGTACTTACTCTTTGT